GCGAGTCCAAGATCCTGAGAGGAAAATGGAGAAGGGATTGCGGCATGGCCATCCCCTCTGGGGGGTGATTTCTCGCTTTCCGTCTCTGTCTCTCTCTGGCGAGTGCATGCGCCCTATAGCAAAAACCTCTCCAAAAAAAAAAAGAGAGAAAAGAAAAAAAGAAAAAGATGTTATTTGCTTTTTTTACTGTGTTGACATTTGCAGAGATGGTGCAAAAGCAATGGTGAGCAAAACCTGCTGGAGCCCGTGCACGGATTGAAGTAAGTTCTAACAGTCCCTGGTTCCTGCTCCAGCACACACGCACAGCAAGACACTCACACAACTGATAAACTGCGGTATTTGGCAAAACATGGAACCTAAGAGCCTTATATATTTAGCAGACATTTTCTTGAAAATGAATACATGAACAAATGACATTTGTCACCAGTAATAAAACTAAGAGGTTTCAAAAACAAATTTAGAGTTCCAAGCAAAATTTGAACTTCGAACGTTTTACAGCAGTCACACATTTGATAGCTTTCTGACTCCGGAAGACTTTCCGCATGAGCTCACGGCGACAGTAACAAATGCGGGTTCTCTTGATAGCGCACAATGAAGTTCACTATGTGGAAGATGTGTAAAGCCCCGTGAGTCATGCTTCTAAGTGACTAATGCATGATATTACAAAATGACGCTTGAGTAAAAGATCTGTTCAAAGTGCAGGACAGACCAACAGATTTCAGTGGAACAGAATCTGAGTGGCGGATATAGTTTCAGATAACACACTGTAACTTTAAGAAGTTACCACCTAGGGGCCGGCAGGTGGCGTGGTGGTTAAGGCACAGACTCCCACATGGCTGACTGCGGTGTGAGTCCTGGACCTGGCAGCTTGCTTTCTTCCTTTCCCTCTCTGGTCAAATGAAGGAATAATAATAATAAATTAAATTAAATCAATAATTATTTAAAAAAAGACATGACCACCTTTGTGTTGAGTTCTCATGACATAGCAGATGGATATATACAAGTATCTGAAAAGACTACTAAATCCTCTTTCTCTTTTTCACCTAAATACTTGTGGAACACTGGAATTGCTTTATGTATTTCTTTTCTTTCTTTCTTTTTCTTTTTTTAAATAGACCATAGCTTAGTGTTTTTTGTTTGTTTGTTTGCTTGTTTGTTTTAGAGAGGCTTTTGCTATCGGGTGTGGGTGCTCACAGGAGAGACAGAGACAGAAAATGAGAAGTCGCTCCCCCCTGGGGATGGTCACACCTCAATCCCTTCTTTTTCATTCTCCTCTTGGGATTTTGGGCACACACGCACACATGCCTGGCGTGAGTTTTAAGTCACTAGGTTCGGACTCGAACTGTGGTTGACTACGTGGGAGTCCGGTGGCATAACCATTACGCCATCTGCTGGTCCCAGGTTATAAATAAACTTATTTTTAACACCCATCGTTCAATAAATTTATCAGGAATAGGTTCCAGAACTTTCAGGCTCCTTTCCATGGGTTCTCACTGTGAGTGGAGCAGGTTGGCACTTCAGCTGAACCCAGGTCCCTCTCTCTTTGGCTTCCTTCTTTTTCTGGTCATTTTCCTTCACACGTTTTAGGAAGCTATCTCTGCTCTCAGAATGCTTAATATGCTCAATACGCACATTAACTCCCTTGGCGAGAATCTTACCCTTAACTTGTTCATGACAATGCCAACAGCACGCTGGGTGACACTGCAGACTCTTCCAGCTTGGCCATGGTCACATTTATGGGGCATTCCTTCTGAACAGTACCCATTTCCTTAATGTCTACACTATCACCTTTCTTGTAGATTCGCATGTGTGTTGCCGAAGGAACCACTCCATGTTCTCTAAAAGGCCTAGAGGACATATTTCAGGTTCTTTGACTCTTTCTCTGTGTGGTCATTTTGGTGAATTACTGGAAGATGGCAGTTTTGGTCAAAAGGAATATATGTTTTTTCTTCTTCTTCCTTTTTTTTTTAGAATTATTATCTAATTTCACCAAAAAGAAACAGAGAGAGGTAGAGAAAGGAAAAGTGAGAAAACAAGCTACCAGGTCTGGGACTTGAACCATGGTCGACCATGTGGGAGTCCATATACGTCATATTTCAAAGTGACATATCAGAGGACTTTGCAACATCTGTAGAAACAGAATTAAAGTATGAATTTATTTGGGTGCAAACAAATTTTGAAATCCATGTATAATTTTTTATATGTTTTCTTCATAAACTTTTTTGAGGTTCTTCTTCCCATAATCCAACAGATAGAATACAAAAGCTGATATGGGAATCCAGCCATCTCCTATTAAGTCAGACGTTAGAGAGATCTGCAAAAAGTAAGACAATACCCCTCTTCTCATTCTTTAATTTTTGAGTGCATGTGCTCACCAAAGAGAGAGAGTGTGAGAAATCACACCCCACAGGGGATGGTCATGCCACAATCCTTCTTCTCCAGTCTCTTCTTGGGATTTTGGGCACACATACAGAAGTACCCAGCATGATTTTCAACCCACCAGGTCTGGGACTTGAACTGCTCAGTTGGCCCTATGAGATCCAGCACCTTAACCACATTGCCACCTGAACCCCAGTAATGCTCTTGAAAATAGAAAATTTTCATAAACATTTTTATAAATATTTAAAACATTTTTAATATAATTCACATTAAAAAAAGCTTTTTAGGGTCCTATACGTTTTAAGAGGATAGAAGGGTCCTGAGATCAAAAGTTGAAGATGAACCGTATATAGTAATAAATATTTGCCTCTAAGATACATTTTATGGCGTGGCGGGGAAAGGCCAGTGATTAGAGGGAGATGGACATTTTCCCTAAGAGCCTAGACAGGCACTCTGTCTCATCTGAGTGAGCCCCACGAAGATGTACTGGGGGTGCCCAACGCTATGGAAAGATACTGGGACATCTATTTATTTATTTTAAAAATTATTCAATTAAATTTATTACTATTATATTAAATTTGCTACAGGGCATGTGTTCTCACCAGAGAGAGAGAGAGAGAGAGAGGGAGAAAGGGAGAAAGGGAGAAAGCTGGCTGCCAGGTCCAGGACTCGAACCATGGTCAGCTATGTGGGAGTCCAGTGCCTTAACCAGCAAGCCACCTGCTTGTCTTGATACTGGGACATTCAGAACATCATACTGTTCTATATTAGTATATACAAATAATCATGAATACATTAATGGGTGGGAAATGACATTTAAGTAAAAAACATTAAGCTAAATTGAGATTTTGCAAATGTGCCTATGTCATATTCTGAAGGTAAAATGTTATCTTCGTGTATGCTTAGGGGATATCCTGGTGAAGATGAGAAACTGGGAGGAAACAGCTGCTCCCTTGTCTGTGAAGTCTCCACAGCTACACTGAAGTCCAATGGGTCTTCTATCTAAAGTCTCTGTTGTCCATGAGGGGGCACCAGAGACCAAGAAAAGTTGCTCTCATCTTTCCTTAAGATTGATCCAGCCAAATGTTAGGGATGATCAAGAGGGCTTAGGAAAGCAGTACTAGTTTGAGGATTAGTACTGGGCCAACTACGTCTGACTTCTCCGAAGAGACTGTTTTTAAAAAGGTATCAGGTCTCGGGAACCAGCAGTTAGTGTAATGGCTGTGTCGCTGGACTCCCATGTAGTCGACCGCGGTTCACGTCCCGGACCCGGTGGCTTAGAACTCACGCCGGGCGCGTGTGCGTGTGTGCCCAAGATCCCGAGAGGAGAATGGAGAAGAAGGGATTGCGGCGTGGCAATCCTCCCTGGCGGGTGATTTCTTGCTTTCTGTCTCTTTGTCTCTCTCTGTCTGGCGAACACACGCGCCCTAAAGCAAAAAAAAAAAAAAAACCTCTCCAAAAGGTATCAGGTCTCATTCCAGATTATTCTGATTTCAGAAGGTCTAGAGACCAGGAGGCTCTATTTTGTTTTTTTAAGAATTATTATTTTTTATTTAACTTTATTTATTTATTTTTAATTTGATCAAAGAGGAACAGAGAGAATGAGAGAGAGAGAGACACAGTGAGAAAGCTAGCCCCCAGGTCTAGGACTTGAACCATGGAGTCTAGTGCCCTTAACCACCATGCCACTTGCTGGCCCTGAGTCTCTATTTTTAAAAAAGTTCCCCAGGAGGTTCTGGGCAGGGATGTTTGGGAACCATAACTGCGTGTGTGGGGTCCACCCAGAACTTTCCCAAGGCCTCTGTGGGAGACCCGTCCCTGAGAAACCACCCTTTCTGATACTAAGCATGATGGAAAGCGGGCTCTTGCCAGGGCATCCTCCATCCTGATGCACTCCCAAAGCTCCTGTTTGATCTTCACAGTGATTCAGAAGCCCGGTCCTCCCAACCTGTTCTGCAGATAATGAAGACTCCCAGCGCTAAAGCCACAGAGCTAGGATTTGGTGTCAGGTAGGCTCGGCTCCAGCAGCCGGGCTCACTCTGGTGCTGGGGGCTCCCAGCAAGGCCACACTTCGTTGGCCCTGGGTTTCTTCTCTGAAAAGTGGGGTAACATCAGCGCTGTCATCTCAGAGGGCTCTCATGACACCATATCTGGCACGTGGTTCGGCCCAGAGCACAGCCAAGTGCAGGGGAGCCAGAACCTTCCTGGCGGGGCCCAGGGGACTCACTGATCTCTGTTGGGGGCTTTCCTGAGCTGGTCGGCAGTGACCCTCCACGAGAAGTTGAAAAACCGCATGGCGTTCTCAAAGTAGAGGTCTGGAACTGCGGTGTACTGGAAGGAGAAAGCAGAGGGTCAGAGCATGCCAGGCAGGGAGGCACCCTCTACAACAGAGGGAAAGGAAAGCCGTCGAGGTTAAGGGGTTGGTCTGCAGGCCAGAGACTGGAACAGAGGACGCAGGGCTGCAGTTGTGGGCTCCTTCCCCGGCCTCCACCTTGCTGTGGCCTGCACCGGCTCTCCCCTTCAAGGACACACTAAGAGCTTCACTAGGGGTGCCCAGGGGTAATACGGTGTAGGATGCCCCTGCAGCACTGGTTGGGCCTCAGGCAATAAATATTCCCAGCACTGGGCCAGCCAGTGCCGTGGTGGTGAAGGTGGCTGGATCCCACATGGCCAACTCCACAGTTTGAGTTCTGGACGTGGTGGCTTGAAAGACACTCGGGCACATGTCTTGAGAGGAAAATGGAGGAGAAGGGATTACAGAGTGGCCATCCCCTCTGGGGAGTTCTCATTCTCCCTCTCTCCTGCTCTCCTTCTCTCTCTCTCCAGTGAGCACATGCGTTCTATAGCAAACTAAATTAAAATTAAATTAAATGAAGAAAACAGAACTATTCCCAACACTGTCGGATAGAACCTTCTGGGATGGTGGACAGGTCCCGTGTCTGTGCTGTCCCACGTGGTGGACACCAGCCACAGGTGACTAGTGAGCATTTTGAATGTGGTGACTTTACCTTTCAATCTATGTGGCCAGATAGTGGCCCAGTGGTAACATGGTGCTTTGTGAGGATGACGCTCAGGAGGGGTCTGAGTTCACCTCCAGAAGCCTTACTGCGTGAGCTGGGCACGGGAGCAAGATCCTGGGCGGGCGGGGCCGTGGCTGGATGGCAGCCTCAGAGGTCTGCTGGGGGTGCTGTCTCTGACTCGTGGAATAAATAAGTAAACTTACATTTTTAAAACTTTAAGTTTTCATCAGCTGGCTACCTGTGGCTAATGGCTACCACCCTGGACTGCAGAACTCTAAGAAATCAACCTGGGATGGTCTCTGTTTTATTTTTGTTTATGTTTCGTCTTGTTAGATTTTTGCCATTGGGTGTGTGCACTTGCTGAGAGACAGAGAAGGAAAGTGAGAAATCACCCCCTGGAGGAAGGGCCATGCCGAAATCCCTTCTCCTCCACTCTCCCCTAAGGATTTTGGACATGCACACACATAAATACCCGGCATGTTTCTCAAGCTGCTGGGCCCAGGACTTAAACCACAGAGTCAATCATATGGACCCGGTGCCTAGCCACCATGCCACCTGTTAGCCCTCTTTTTTTTATTTTTTAAGAGAGATTTTTGCTATAGGGCACGTATGCTCACTAGAGAGACAGAAAGTGAAAAATCATCCCCCAGGGAGGATGGGCACACTGCAATCCCTTCTCTTCCATTCTCCCCTCAGGATTTGGGGCATGCATGCACATGTGCCTGATGTGAGTTTCAAGATGCCGAGTCTGGGACTCGAGCCGTGGTCAGCCACGTGGGAATCCGGTGATGTAACCACTGTGCCATCTGCTGGTCCCTCTACTTTTGTTTTTTAGTGAGGGAATTGGCATGCATTTTTGACAGGGTGATCCTTCCTGCCCCTAGTTGGCCAGGTCTACAGCCTTGCACCACTGTACCCAGCCTGTGTAGGTTGGGCCCAGAACTGAACCTAAGCCTCTCGTGCTGCCTCAGCCACTCACAGATGCACTCTCCTGCTCATCCCACCAGGGCTGGGCCTGGAATTCATCTCTAGAATGCCCAGGGACAGTTCTCACTGCACACACTCATCACCCAGCCTGGCCTTTTGACAGGTGTGAAGTTCGTACTTAGATCCATTCCAGAGCTTCCTGGCTTTATGCCGAGACTTGGATAAACGGCTGGGCCCTCAGGAGCAGGATATAGACCCTGTGGCCTCTCCCTGGACAGCTTCTAGGGACTCTGGACCTAGTACCTAACATCCTGGAGCATCGTAAGTTGTTTTCAACCAAAAGGCTGTAGGATGAGTCTCAGTATTACCATGAAGGGAAGTTACTATTATTTCAAAAATGCCTGATTCACAAATCCCAATCACAAGAAGATAGAGAACCGTATCTGGGGAGAAGCACAGTCCACTTCAAGTGGTGATTTGCCGTAAGTTCTAACCAGCAGGGGCCTATCACCTACCCTTGCTGCCTGAATTAAACTGAAAAGACTGCTGGGGATGTAGGCTTCCTCTTCTCATCGGCATTTTAAGGTAAAAATCAGAAGTCCAGGGTTCTCGGAGGGGGGAAGGAGGTGGGAGAGGGCTCTGGGGACAGGAGGTGACTCTGGATGCAGGAATGGAGAAGGAGCAGGCAGTATGAGGGAGCTCCACTTTCTATCTTTCTTTCTTTCTTTCTTTCTTTCTTTCTTTCTTTCTTTCTTTCTTTCTTTCTTTCTTTCTCTCTCTCTCTCTCTCTCTCTCTCTCTCTCTCTCTCTCTCTTTCTAGTAATGATAAGAGTGTGTACATGTGATATGAAAAACAGAGAGAGAAAAAGTAGTTTGGACAGATTCTCATCACATGCTGATCCCCTTTCCCCAGCCTTCCAGATCTTCAAGATCTTAGGCGTGTGCATGTCTGGTAGTTTTCAAGCCAACTCAGGTATCCTAACCCACCATCGCCACATGGCTTCCAGCACTGCGGTCTAACACTCTGCGCCACCTAGGCTGGGCCTCCAGCACCTCGTAGTCTCATGTGGACCCAGCCCCGCCTCAGCCCTTTCCCATGCAGTACTGGGGAGTACAGAGGAGCAGGTGGAAGCCACTTACGTCGTTGAAAACTTTGTCCAGCTCCTTGGGGTCCATGATGAAGTTGGGGTAACCTATCATGTTGTAGATGGCATCCGCCTGGACAGGAGAGACACAGAGGAAGTGAGTGTCCGGCAAGGGTAGCTAGGCTCAGGGACTGGGCCAAGGGGAGGCAAGGTGAGGCCCCTCTGGTTTCAGGGCATTCACATCTTTTTCTGGAAGGAGTCCCCCTTTAAGATCTACATTTCTTGGGAACCAGCAGTTAGCATAATGACTATGTCGCTGGACTCCCATGTAGTCGACCGCGGTTCGCGTCCCAGACCCGGCGGCTTAAAACTCACGCCGGGCACGTGTGCGTGCATGCCCAAGATCCCGAGAGGAGAATGGAGGAGAAGGGATTGCGGCGTGACCATCCCCCCTGGAGGGTGATTTCTCGCTTTCTGTCTCTCTGTCTGTCTGGCGAGCGCACGCGCCCTATAGCGAAAACCTCTCCAAAAAAAAAAAAAAAGATCTACATTTCTTTGGGTTTCTGCTTAAGTGTCACTTCCCCAAGGGAAGTCATCCCTGACCCCTACCTTACTGGACGGCACCAGGTCCCTCATTCCCAGCAGACATGCAACAGCCCGTGGACCTTCCCTCGCACACGCTGTGAGCTTTGTTTTATTTTAATTATTATTTTTTAAAGGTTTTTACCATAGGGTGTGCGTGCTCGCCAGAGAGACAAGGAGAGGGAAAGGGAGCAGTCAAGCCCCAGCATGGATGCCCATACTGCAATTCTTTCTCCTCCATTCTCACCCTGGGATTCTAGGCACATATGCACATGCACCTGGTGTGAGTTTCAAGCCTCCAGATCTGGGACTCAAATCATGCTAAGCCATGTGGGAGCCCAGCGCCCTAACCAGTAGGGTACCTGCTAGCCCCAGGACCTTTGTTTTATAAGCTTTCACACCATCATGTGTGATGTCCCCTAAGACTGTCCCTTCTCCTGGTAGACTGCTCCCCACGAAGGCAGGAGAGTGTTCTGTGGTGCTCACGGGATACGACTGGTCTCCCTCAACCCACACTCCTCCACCTATGGCTGCTGCCTCACAGACCCCCTCCCAGCACCTGGACAGCCTCACCTTTTCCTTGGCCGATTTCCGGGTGTCTTCATCCATCCACTTCAGAGTGCTCAGGCTTTCCTCAAATGCCTTCTTGATTTCCAGAATGATCTCAGTGGCCTGGGGAGACAAACGCTGCATCAGTGAAGTCTGGACACCGGCCTCGCCTGAATGCGAGGAGCACCCCATGCAGAAGGATGACACTGGGCAAGAGACTACACTCAGTTTGGCTCGAGGGTCAGGCTCCTCAGTGCTGCGCTGAGTCACAGCTGTGTTTTCCAAACCACATTCCTAACGTGAGCATCCTGCAAGACAAGACAGGCCTTGCACACACACGGCTCCACGGTCAAGCGAGCTCAGGACGTGCTTCTGGAAAGTTGGCCTTGCAGCTTGGCGGCGCTGGTATGAGCCAGGAACCACTGCAACGAGGGAGACCCTGGTTGGATCCTGGACCCGCTACACACTGGGCATGGGACTTGAACTGTGATCCCAGCTAACTGGGAGGCTGGGCAAAGGGTTGCAACAGTGAGACCATGTCAACAAATGCTCGTCTCTTTCCTCTCCAAAGCAAAAGTAAAAGTCTCTTTGCTGCAGGACTTTTCAGAGCCGCAGACAGACAGAGAGAGGGAAAGCGAGAAATCAGCCCCCCTGGGGGAGGACCATGCTGCAGTCCTTGCTGCTCCATGCTCCCCTGAGGACTTCCGACACACCTGCACCTGCACCCGACATGTTTCTCAAGTTGCCATGTCTGGAACACAAACCACACTGTCAGCCACGTGGAATTCAGCCGTCCTAACCACCACACCACCTTTGGGCTTTTTCCCTTAAAGAGAGGGTTTTGCTACGTCACATGACTCCTGCCTCAGTCTCCCTCATGGCTGGAATCACGGGTGTGCACCACCATGTCCACCTCTTTCAAACAGGGTCTTAGTATGTTGTCCACACTGGCCACACGTTTGTGATCCTCCTGCCTCCTGCAGAGCAACAGGCGTGTGCCGCTGTGTCCAACTTCCAGGATGGACTGGACCATTAAACCCGGACCTCCCGCACAGAATGACTTCTTGATGGGCTGGGCTTTAAAATCAAGAGAACTTGAGTTCTGAGAAGCAGTTTGAGAAACGCAGGTGGAAGGTGAACGGCTGCTTTCAAGGGCACAATGTCACGGGCAGATCTAGAGGCTGGCAGAGGTGGAAGATTTTAGAGAAGGGGAAGGCAGACCCGAGTAGCTGCAAGAGCAGAGGCACTACGGCCAAGAGCCCTTGACTCAGACTGACTCAGCTGTTCCCAGGCAAGTCAGGTAACAGCTCTGGGCTGTTTGCTGGCCTTCGATTGCAGAGGATAGCCGTGTAACGAAGCCTGACAGTAATGGAATAGCTACCGTTTATTAAATCCTGGTCTTGTGCCACACTCTATGTGTAGTATCTTTTTTTAAAAATAATTATTTTATTTTATTTATTCATTCATTTATTTTTTAATTTGACCAGAGAGAGACAGACATTGAGAGTGAGAGAGAGAGAGGAAGCGAGAAAGCAAGCTACCAGATTCAGGACTCGAACCCTGGTCGGCCATGTGGGAGTGTCCAGCGCCTTAACTACCATGCCACCTGCTGGTCCTATATGTGTAGTATCTCATTTAAGCTCCCACTTCCATACTACAGATGAGGTGAAAATACTGTCCCAAGTCAGCCAAGCAGGAAGTGATGAAGCCAGGAGCTGAGCCCAGGCCTGGCTGTGTCTACCGTATGCTCCTCTGCCTTTCTAGAACAAACCTGTCACTTGCAAACTGAGAAAAAGTCACCCTTTGGAACAGAGTGGGGGTGGCTCTGCCAACATCATTTTGCCGGGTCCGTCACACCCCTTGCAGGTGGCTGACATAACTGAGTCCAGGAGGGGCGGACGACAGAGCACAGATAACGGACCTCTGGTTTAGTAACGGTGGTTGTTACGAGCAATTCACACCCTCCAAAGCCTGGAAAAGACAGGACCTCTGAGTTAAGGCGGGCGTCCTGGGCCCTCTGGCCTGCAGCCCGAAAGGCTCCCAGCAGAGCTGAGCACAGCTGTCAAGTCCACGAGGGACCCCCGGCAGGCAAATGGCATGACATCACAGCCTGTGTTCTTGTGGGGGACACTTACTATGTTCTTGCTGTCCTCGGCGAAGGTCGCTTTGACAAACATGGGGCCCAGGGCAAAGCCCAGGTTGTTTTCTGTGTCACTCACGCAAAACTTCCAGCGGGGAAGACAGGTCTGGAAAACACAATGAGAGAGATCATTCGGCCTCTGTCCTCCTTCCACCCCTTCCTATGTCGTCCGGGGGTTGAACTTCCTTCCAGAACTGCAGGGGGACCTTTCCATGCTATGGAAGTTACTTCAGGCACTGGACCAAGAGGCAGCAGATCCCTCTCATCACCACTATCATTTCCTGAGTGCCAGGCTCTGGGCTCGGTCTCCTGCTGAGCCATCAACGTGACTGATGGCTTACAGGTCACTGGACAGCAGCTCAGCAGGGCGCAGTCACCCGTCTAGGGTACCACAGACAGCGAGGGCTGTGGGTGGGACAGGAACCCAGACATGCCTGGCTCCATGCTCCATGCTCCATGTCCCACGCTCCTTCCTGCCCCTGCCCGTCCTGTCTCCCGCAGGAGACCAAGAATTCTGGTGGCCAAGACCTTGGAGATCAGCTTGTCCACTGGGAGTGTCCAGCGCCTTAACTACCATGCCACCTGCTGGTCCTATATGTGTAGTATCTCATTTAAGCTCCCACTTCCATACTACAGATGAGGTGAAAATACTGTCCCAAGTCAGCCAAGCAGGAAGTGATGAAGCCAGGAGCTGAGCCCAGGCCTGGCTGTGTCTACCGTATGCTCCTCTGCCTTTCTAGAACAAACCTGTCACTTGCAAACTGAGAAAAAGTCACCCTTTGGAACAGAGTGGGGGTGGCTCTGCCAACATCATTTTGCCGGGTCCGTCACACCCCTTGCAGGTGGCTGACATAACTGAGTCCAGGAGGGGCGGACGACAGAGCACAGATAACGGACCTCTGGTTTAGTAACGGTGGTTGTTACGAGCAATTCACACCCTCCAAAGCCTGGAAAAGACAGGACCTCTGAGTTAAGGCGGGCGTCCTGGGCCCTCTGGCCTGCAGCCCGAAAGGCTCCCAGCAGAGCTGAGCACAGCTGTCAAGTCCACGAGGGACCCCCGGCAGGCAAATGGCATGACATCACAGCCTGTGTTCTTGTGGGGGACACTTACTATGTTCTTGCTGTCCTCGGCGAAGGTCGCTTTGACAAACATGGGGCCCAGGGCAAAGCCCAGGTTGTTTTCTGTGTCACTCACGCAAAACTTCCAGCGGGGAAGACAGGTCTGGAAAACACAATGAGAGAGATCATTCGGCCTCTGTCCTCCTTCCACCCCTTCCTATGTCGTCCGGGGGTTGAACTTCCTTCCAGAACTGCAGGGGGACCTTTCCATGCTATGGAAGTTACTTCAGGCACTGGACCAAGAGGCAGCAGATCCCTCTCATCACCACTATCATTTCCTGAGTGCCAGGCTCTGGGCTCGGTCTCCTGCTGAGCCATCAACGTGACTGATGGCTTACAGGTCACTGGACAGCAGCTCAGCAGGGCGCAGTCACCCGTCTAGGGTACCACAGACAGCGAGGGCTGTGGGTGGGACAGGAACCCAGACATGCCTGGCTCCATGCTCCATGCTCCATGTCCCACGCTCCTTCCTGCCCCTGCCCGTCCTGTCTCCCGCAGGAGACCAAGAATTCTGGTGGCCAAGACCTTGGAGATCAGCTTGTCCACCAGGAAGGCTTCCCAGACGGCCAGATCCAGCCCCATTTAAAGTCTCTGAGAAAGAGCAGCTACAGCCACAGCCAGGGTTTCCCATGTCGGCTCCTCCACAGTCTCACCCACGGCCCACGGGTCCACAGCATGCCTCTGTGCAAACTGGGTGCAAGTGTCCGAAGGCTACGGCCCCTGGAGGGGGCCCCCACGGGTCAGTTGTGCTACCTCCAGCCCCTCACTGCCCTGCCCAGGCATCCTCGAAGGACAGTGTGTGTGACCACATGGCAGCCCTGCTCACAGCCTTCCTGCTGCAGACGAAGCTCATGTCCCCTTAACCTTGAAGAACAGGGGATCAGGTGGCAGCACCCACCGTGCTCAGGGCAGCCCGATTCCCATCAGCTCTCGGCTGAAACTACCCAAATGCCATCAGCAGATGCGTGGAGAAACCAAATGTGGCGTTTTCGCACAGTCACACCCCATGTGGCAGTAAGAAGGAAGACAAAGTCGCTCAGACATGACGCATTCCAGACCTGTGCTGAGCAGAAGCCAGGCACGCAGTGTGCAATCCCATCTGCCCCTCGGCCCCCTGGGGCTGGGAGCACTAACAGGAAAGAGGCAGAGGGAACTTTCCGCTGGGGGGACGCTGGATAATCGGGGATGGAAATGTTCCTGCTCTTGGGGATGGAGTTACATGGGTGACTTCGTCTGCCAAGCTCATTGAACTAGATACTTAATGAGGACCGTATATCTGGTTGTATGTAAATTTTGTCTTAAAGAACAATTTCTAGGCAAGAAAGAGGAATGGGGAAATCGAAGTCTTGTCCTAGTGTAGTTACCCCCGTGCCTTTGGGCTTCCCAGCCAGGGGTCCATTTCGACCTCCGCCTCCGCCTCCTCCTCTTTCTCCCGTCCCCTGCCCGCCCTTCCTCAGCTGTGAGGCTCGCAGCTGGACACATGGTCTGCACCTGCATCTGGCCAAGGCCGACCACACAAGGAGTCAGGACGACGGGGACTCTAACCTCTGGCTCTGTGGAGGCCGTGATGGCCAAATGGTGGACAGATTGCTCACGGTGGTCTCAGGAGAGTCTCTGGATGCACTGATTTGCTCACGCATTCATTGACCCCCTGACCACCCAGTGCTCTCGGGGCAGCTCCTCTGCACCCTGGTGATGTGACGTCTTTGGAATCGAAAGACGAATCAACCATGGACCTGCCTTCCAAGGACTCAGCTGCAACGCCCTGAGCAGCAGTAACAGCAGTGAGCATTTGCTGCATGCCAGGCCCTACCCCCCACGACGCTGGTAATAACCGTACGAGGCAGATAAAAAACTGGGGCATAGCGAGGTCAATTCCTTGCCCAAAGAGACCACCCAGGGAGTAAGAGGCTGAGCTGGGATTGGAACCAGAAAGTCTGCTCTAGTATCTTCCCTCCAAGATGCCACACGCACTGCCTGCAAGTCATGAAGTCCCTGGAAGAGCTACAGAATGATGAGAAGAATCTTCGAGAGGAGCGAGGGTCAGGTGGACCTGAGCAGCTCACGCAGCATTTACCTGGGGCCTGAGAGCGACTCTAGGAAGGTACTGAGCAGCCAGCCTCTTCCGCCCTGAGACTCTGTCTTTCTTCCTCTTCTTTCTTAAGAATTATTTATCTGAGGGGTCTGCAGATGGCATAATGGTTCTGTTGCTGGACTCCCATGTAGTTGATCGCGGTTCTAGTCGCAGACCCAGCAGCTTGAAAATCACACTGGGTATGTGTGCGCGCATGCCTAAGATCCCAAGAAGAGAATGGAGGAGAAGGGACTGCGGCATGGCCATCCCCCTGGGGGGTGATTTCTTGTTTTCTGTCTCTTTGGCAAGTGCATGCACCCTATAGCAAAAATCTCTCTCGCAAGAAAGAGAAACCACTCCCCCCCCAAAAAAACCCAAAAAACTCACACTGGGCACTTGTATGTGCCTGCCCAAAATCCTGAGAGGAGAATGGAGAAGAAATTGCAGCATGATCAATCTCGCCGGTTAATTCTCGCCTGGGGGGGGGGGGGGGCGCTTCTAATTTTCTTTCTCTGTCTCTCTTTGACGAGTACGTGCGCCCTATAGCAAAAATATCTCTCTCTCAAAAAGAGAGATTTATTTAATTTTATTATTATTACTATTTTCCATATTTGCTATAGGACACATGTGCTCACAAGAGAGAGAGAAAGAGAAGTGAAAAAGCAAGCCTCTGGGTCCAGGACTTGAACTGTAGTCACCCATGTGGGGGTTTAGCACCTTAACCACCATGCCACCTGCTGGCCCCAAGACAGCTGTTTCTTTTCTTACCTCTTTTTCATGAAGCATTAAGTCCCTTGTAGTGAGGGGTAAGTTGGAGGGGGCAGGGGTCTACCGTCCCTGCTGAAATGCTCAAGCCATAAACGGCGAACTGATGAGAAACAGCCAGCGCGACTGCTTTAGCCTTTAGGCCCGATTGTACAGCCATCTCTCCTCAAGTACTCCTAGTCAGCCCTTGGGAAAGCAGGGCAGGGATTAGCTACCCCTTTCTACAGGTGGGGAGACTAAGGCCCCATTCCAGCGAAGTGACTGTCCGAGGTTGTACAGTTAGAAGCGTCTCAGTCAGCTCCCACCAAGCTCCCACCAAGCTCCCACGCGGTCTCCCCTGCCATGCTCCCTCCAACGCCACGCTCCACGCTGCTTGATTTCTCACAAGCATTTTCCTAAATGGAGGCCATTCACTAGGGTCCCTGAGATGAATTAACCCAGGAATTAATCCAACTGCAAACACAAAAACTGAGGCTCAGAGAGCTGTGCAACCCAAGGCCACGCGGCTAAGTCGTAGCTTTGAGCTGGACTGGACACAAGCAAGAAGGAGCCGGCCTGAGCCCAGAAGCAGCCTTGGCGAGACACTGGGGAGGGCTGGAGATAAGGGACAGGTCAGTGGCATCCCCTATCCCTCAGCCTTGGGACATCCAGAGATCCCGGCTCAAAGCCTCAGCCTCAGAGTCTCCCCGCCCGTTTCTGCTGAGGCATTCCTACACCCCACCACTTTGCACACTGTGGTCACAGTGGCACCCAAACTTCGAACCTACCGGGGAGCTCATCCTGCCATTTAGTGACTTAATTTTAATTGTGGTTAACAAATCACATAACATAAAGGTTATCCTCTTGACCTCTCTTTTCTTTCTTTCTTTTTAAAAAATTATTTATTTAATTTAATTTTTATTTTTTAAATCTGACCAGAGAGAAGGAGAAAAAGGGAAAATGAGAAAGTAGGCTGCCTGGTCTGGGACTCGAACCACAGTCAACCATGTGGGAGTCCAGCACCTTGACCATCATGCCACCTGTGAGTCCCCTCTTTCTTTTTATTTAATTTAGGCACTTGTGCTCCTGAAAGACTGAGGATACAGAGAGAAAGAGAGAGAGAGAGAGAGAAAGTGAGAAATAACCCCGTGGGGGGTATGGCCACATCACAATCCTTTCTCCTTTAGTCTTGTTGAATTTTTTTTTTTTTTTGGAGGGGTTTTCGCTATAGGGGGTGTGCGCTCGCCAGACAGACTGAGAGAGACATAGAGACAGAAAGCGAGAAATTACCCCCCAGAGGGGATGTTTTTTTATCCCTTCTCCATTCTCCTCTCGGGATCTTGGACACGCACGCACACGCGCCCGGCATGAGTTTTAAGCCACTGGGTCCAGGACACGAACCGTGGTCGACTACGTGGGAGTCCAGCAACATAGCCATTACGCTAACTGCTGGTTCCCAGTCTTGTTGAAATTTTGAGCACACATGCCTGGTGTGATTTTTAAAAATAATTAATTAATTTTTATCCATTCATGTATTTTAATTTGACCAGAGAGAGACACACACACAGAGAGAGAGAGAGAGAGAGAGAGAAGGAAAGTGAGAAAGCAAGCCACCAGATCCAGGACTCGAACAGTGGTCACTCATGTGAGAGTGTCCAGCTGGTCCCCCCAGTGTGATTTTCAAGCCACCAGGTCCAGGACTCGAACTGCAAAGTTGACCATGTGATATCCAGCCACGTTAACCACCATGCCACCTGCTGGCCCCACCTTCTTTACCATTTTAAGTGTGCAGTTCAATAGCACTGAGTATATTTAAATTTTTGTGCAACCAATTACCACACCTTCTCATTTCACAGATCTGAAACTCTACACCCATTAAACAGTAACCTCCCTCCCCCACCCCTCGGGTAGTCACAGGAAACCTCAACTTTCACTTTTGGCTCCTGCAGATCTGAGGCTGAGTGGCGTAGTGCTTGGCCTAAGGTAAGGGCCGTGGACCCTGCTGTGCGGGTCTGAGAGCCCACTGTTCTGGGCAGCTCTGAACAAGTCCCCTCCCTCACTAAGACTCAGCTTCCGCATCTGTAAGGCGGGAGACGATGACCAGCCCTAACACAGGGCTGTCATAGAAAATGCCTAGAAAAGCTGACAGTAAAAAGCAACCCCGCCTTTGGTTATTGTTATCATTAGCAAGTAGCTCAAAGTGCCTTGAAGTTGTAGTTATCCAGATTTGGATTTGAATTCAAGCCTCCTGCTTTCGCTGTGACCTGAGAAAGTCTCTACCTCCCTGAGCCTCGGTTTCCTTCTCTGCAACTTGAAGGGTAAGAGATGATACGGAGAGCACCCCCCACACAGAGCTGTCTCTGGAACCATGATCCGGGGGCCTGCTGAGACGGGTCCTGGATGAAGTCCCCAGGGAGGCCTAATCCACCTGTGACCCCACGGCAGTCTAAGGCAGGTGAGGTGGGGCAGGTCAGACAGCCAGGCCAGCCAGAGCACCGCTTCCCTCGTGCTCTCTGTGGGGCAGGGTGGCGTTTGGCACTGCAAGCCCTTCCGCTCAGGAGTAGGGCTTAGTCCCAGCCCCTCTCTCCCCTCTCTTCCTGTCAGAGGTGGGTGTACCTGGGAGTGGGAGTGGAAAGGAGAACTTTTCCCAAGAGGGGTCAGAGGCGGAACCCACACCTTGCCACTCTCTGCCGATCCTTACCTGGTCCCACCTGTTTCACGGGCCCCTGGGAAGAGCCCAGGAAGTGGGGTTTAGCTGAAGCAGCCCTGCCTACCTTCTGGGGATGGCTTGCAGGGGTCTTGCCACACTGGGTGAGGGCTGGGTGTGCTAGCCGCTTTGACATCGCAGCCTCTACCACTTGGTAGCTAGGACACCTCCCATCTGCCTCTGGGGCCTGGCTGGGTGTGTGCATCAGCACCTGTGAGGACCAGTTGGCCCCTATCACCTCCCCCAGCAAACACAGACCCATCTCGCCCACCTCGGTATTCCTGGATGGGGTTCAGAGCCTGGCACCCAGCGGCAGGAGTTCCAGGGTAACTGTATGTCAGCTGCATAAATGACAGGGGACACCACTTTCTCGAGGGAAGTGCTAGTGCCTGAGAGGCTTTACACTAGGGCTAGGTTCCCTGGGGAAGGGCAGAGAAGGGCCATGAAGCCTCTGAAAGAGTGGACCCTCAAGTATCATGTGGGGCATTTCAAGGTGGGTAGATTTCCGCCTGGTCTGGGGCCTGGAGCTCCTGCTACCCCTGAAAGCCCAGAGGCCTGGCTTGCAGTAGGCTTCCCGCGACTATAGCCCGGGAGGTACCTTCACATAACACTTCCTGCAGGCCAGACACTGCTCTATGCGCTGTACTGGGGTCCTCTGGGCAGAGGCGGGTAGCAACAGCCCCTACCTCACATAGCTGTGATGCTCACATGGGTTTTTCTTGATTTTTTCTTTTTTGGAGAGTTTTTTTTTTTTTTTTTGCTATCGGGCACATATGCTTGCCAGAAAGACAGAGAGAGACAGAGAGACAGAAAGTGAGAAATCACCCCCCGGGGGGATAGCCACGCCACAATCCCTTCTCCTCCATTCTCCTCTCGGGATCTTGGGCACACACGCACACACACCCAGTGTGTTTTAAGCCACCGGGTCCGGGACGCGAACCGTGGTCGACTACGTGGGAGTCCAGCTACATAGCTATTACACTAACTGTTGGTCCTCACATGGGTTTTTTAAGGGAAGCATTTCTCACCACCACTGAAGAGTTGGA